GATGTAAAGGAATTGAATAAGCTTCAATACCATTTTCCACTCCCCTTTTCCCACTGCCCCCTCTATTTGCTGATAAGGTGTTGAGCTGTGGGATTGACCAATTACTGAGCTACCCCACCCCCCCCCAAATATCATCACCCACTCAGAGCATCAATAACCAATCACAAACCTGTCCCACAGCCCCTGATCTAGTACCCCCCCATCGTTCATAACCACAATGCCCCTAATCAGAGGCACCCATTGATCAGAAAGCTGCCCAGGTTCCCCTACTGTCTGCCTCTGGCACTCTGTAAACCTGGGGAAAAGCTTGAATAAAATTAAACACCTCTATCAAGTCACCTCCAAGTATTCCTTGAGGTCTGTTGTGTGGGTGGCGAGGGAGCAGCGGGCGGTGCCTGGAGGTGGGGAGCAAAATTCTCCTGACTTAGTACAGGCTCTGAACCAACGGGGAATGGGAGAGAGTTAGTTAGCACGAGGTTGAAAAGATGTGCAGTGGTTCAAATCTCCCTTTGATTAGGTCAAGTGCAGAAAGGGGGGAAAAAACGGGGCAATGAGTAAACGGTGGAGGAGGAAGGTGAAGGTTTTGGAGAAGGTACTTGAGAGGGACGGGAGTAAGGGAGATAGTTTGTAGGGGTACTCAAGAGGACTTGGGAAGGGATCAATGAAACGAGGCTTTTAAAGGACCAACTCTATCTTGATGCTAAGAAACAACAGATTCTTAGATTTGAGACCTTTCCTTTTGTTTTGAAGGTCAGACAGCCCTCCACATTGCAATCGAGAGACGCCGCCCAGATATAGTGAAACTTCTGCTGGAGAAAGGGGCTGATGTCAATATCAAAGCCAATGGGAGGTTTTTTAGGCCAAGTAGAAAGCGTCGCGGCTGCTTTTACTTTGGTGAGTTGCCTTTCGGAATTAAACACCACCCAATTTTAACCCAACACACTGTAGAGGGATGTGGGTGTCACTCCGCACATCCCTAATTGCCCCTTGAGGTGGTGGGGTTTTTTTTGGGGGGGTGGGGAGGGGTCTCTCTTGAACCGCTGCAGTCCATGTGCTGTGGGTTGGCCCACAATGCCCTTAGGGAGGGAATTCCAGGATTTTGACCCAGTGACACTGAAGGAACGGCGATATATTTCCAAATCAGGATGGTAAGTGGCTTGGAGGCGAACTTGCAGTGGGGTGGCGTTCCCATGTATCTGCTGCCCTTGTGCCTCCCAGGTCACACTAGAGATCATCAGTTTGGAAAGGGCTGTCAAACAAAGTTGCATGATTAGTGCAGTGAATCTTGTAAATGGTGTACCGTGCTTTCACTGTGGTACTGACAATGCTACTGCGTATCCACTTCTTTTAACCTTCAAACAACTCACCTTCTACACACCCCATTGACATTCAAATAATGCCTCTGCACGGGCCTGGATCCTTTAGTAAAGCAGCAGGGGAATTCCTGCAGAAGTGGAAGAAAGTGGAGCCTCCAAGGTCATTGATTCTAAGAAACAAACGATGAGAGTAGAAGATGGTGTGATGAGCCTGAACTTCAAACAGTCAGGAAGTCACAAGAGAATAGCAGCCAGATAGGAAGAGCACTACCAGGGAGTTTCTCTCTGTGCACATTCTGAAACTGCTACAGAGTCAGATATCTCCAACTGGCTCCATTTCAGCATTGGCGGGGGGGGGAAGCGCTGGGTTTTAAATCAATACCGCATGGATTGCAGCAACTCACCCCCACTTTCACCAGGGCACTTACAGAGGGTCAGTGAACGTTGGCCCAGACAGCAATACCCACATTCCAAAAATTAACTAAAAACAATAAGTTAAAGGGAGAGGCTGAATAGACAAGGATAGTAGGAACTGCCGATGCTGGAGAATCTGAGATAACAAGGTGTAGAGCTGGATGAACACAGCAGGCCAAGCAGCATCAGAGGAGCAGGAAGGCTGACGTTTCGGGCCTAGGCCCTTCTTCAGAAAAATAGACAGGGGCTATTTTCCCCTGGAACGTCGGAGGCTGTGGGGTGACCTTATAGAGGTTTATAAAATCATAATGGGCATGGATAGGGTGAATAGACAAGGTGGGGAAGTCCAAAACTAGAGGGGCATAGGTTGAAGGTGACAGGGGAAAGATTTAAAAGGGACCCAAGAGGTAACTTTTTCATCTAGAAGGTGGTGTGTGTATAGAAAACGTTGCCAGGGGAAGTGGAGGAGGCTGGTACAATGACAATATTTAAAAGGCATCAGGATGGGTATATGAATAGGAAGGGTTTAGAGGGATATGGGCCAAATGCTGGCAAATAGGACTAGATTAATTTAGGATATCTGGTCAGCATGGATGAGTTGGGCCGAAGGGTCTGTTTCTGTGCTGTGTGATTCTATAAACAGGGTCAAAAATCACAACAGCAGGTTATAGTCCAACAGGTTTATTTGAAAACACAAAACACAAGCCTCACTCCTTCAGGTGTCAGTGAGAGAGGTGGCATCAGACACAGAATTTAGAAGCAAAAGTTCAAAGCGTCATAGAACTGATGCGAATGTACTGAACAAACCTAAGATGGCTGTTAAATCTTTAATCAGTTAGAAAAGAAATGCAGGTTTCAATTGATTAATATGCAAATCCCAGACAGTTCCTTCACTGTTGCTGGGTCAAAATCCTGGAATCCCCTCCCTAAGGGCATTGTGGATTCTGAGGAAGGGTCACAGGACCAAGAACGTTAACTCTGATTTTTTCTTCACAAATGCTGCCAGACCAACTGTGCTTTTGCAGCAATTTCTGTTTTTGTTCCTAATTTACAGCATCAGCAGTTCTTCAGGTTCTAAACAAGGCCTCACACCTAAAATGCATTGTCTGAGCTGAGATGTCACCTCTTGTATACACTGATAAAACCTTTAGTTATCTCAGGGCAGTGACTTGAAAGAAATCCTGGGATTTGCATTTTAATCAATGGAAACCTGCATCTCCTTTCTAACTGATTAAAGATTTAACAGGAGGGAGTCGGCTAACCATTTTTGGTTTATTCAATACATTTGCATCAGTTCTATGACCCTTTGATCTTTTACTTATAGATTCAGTGTCTGATACTCCCTCTCTCACTGACACCTGAAGGAGGAGTAAGTCTCTGAAAGCTTGTGTTTGCAAATAAACCTGTTGGACTATAACCTGTTGTCGTGTGATTTCTGACCTTGTCCACCCCAGTCCAACACCGGCATATCCACATCACCTCTAAACACGAACAGCATGCAGGGTGGGAGGGAGAAATTGGAGAATTTGGAGAATTATTCCATGTTTAAACCTGGTGAGTGGTGGGGAGAAACAGTGTACAGTGGAATATAAATCTGGCCGAGCATTCAACCAGTTCAGATTCCAGACAAACATATTCTCCAAATTCTCCAATTTCTCCCTCCCACCCTGCATGCTGTTCGTGTTTAGAGGTGATGTGGATATGCCAGTGTTGGACTGGGGTGGACAAGGTCAGAAATCACACGACAACAGGTTATAGTCCAACAGGTTTATTTGCAAACACAAGCTTTCAGAGACTTACTCCTCCTTCAGGTGTCAGTGAGAGAGGGAGTATCAGACACTGAATCTATAAGTAAAAGATCAAAGGGTCATAGAACTGATGCAAATGTATTTTTTACTGACTGGTGAGAGGTCTGGGGATGTAGGGGAGATAGGAATTTGGGTAAATATACATCTATAAAAGACTGTGCACAGGTGTTGGCATTGTATTCCAGGCCCACTGGGATTAATGAGAACGATGGGATTTCTTTTTGAAAGGCTTGCTCGGACCTCAGAAAATACTGGCCTTGCGAGGGAGGGCCAAACAGATTCACTAGATAGATGAGGAGCTGAAAGGGTTAAACAGGGAGAGCTCTCAAATGTGGCTTGTAGCCTCTCAGATTTTGGAGGTTGAGGGCTGAGCTGATTGAGGTATTTAAAATATTAAAAAAGGATGTTTTAAGTACTTTCCTTCTCTATCTCTGATAGGGCGGGGAGGGGGGAAGAGTCCAGAAAATTCAAATTAAAGTTGGGACCAGTTGATGCCCCAGAAAGGGATCGTGGAAATCTGGAACTCACCCCCTCAGTGATAGAGGCTGGTGGTGTTTGCAATGAGAGATGTCATCAGACTGGGAGACACTATATTGTCAGTGAGCACAGGGTGATGGGAATAGGGGGATCTTGCTCAGATAAAAGGCTCCATGTTTTCTCTAGATAATCCAAGAATTTTGGATTGGAGAAAGGTAGTGACAGACGAGGGAAGAACTCTTGGAATAGTTGAGTCTGGAGGTGAGAAATGTAGGATGAACTGTTGCTAATACCTTATACCTCACCCAGGTGAACTGCCATTGGCTCTAGCTGCCTGTACCAACCAACCAGAGATAGTTACACTTCTCCTGAACAACCCAAGAATAAATGTTGGAGAGCAGGACTCCAGGGGAAATACAGTCCTACATGCACTGGTTACTATAGCAGACGACACAGAGGAGAACACAGAGGTCGTTACAGAAATGTACAACAAGATCCTGATTGAAAACAAACAGAGCCAGCTGGAAGGGATAAAGAATGCAAAAGGACTGACCCCATTGCAGCTCGCAGGCAAACTGGGCAAGTTTGAGGCAAGAATTTTTCATTTCTCTATAGAACGGGCACTGGGTCTGTATTATAGAGCAGCAATTTCTCATCTACCTTCGCTGGCATCAGAGGGGCTGTCACAGCCGGGCAGGGTCAATGTGTACACATTCACACTTTAGGAGTTAGTAGCCGTTGATAGCTACACTGAGTGTACGAGTCAAAAGGGAACTCCATTCACTAAACTAATATACACTGTTTCATGGTGTAAGATCACCCTCTGTTGACCAAACTGTATACTGCATATGTTTAAAGGATACAGCGGTTTGCTGAAAACAACAAATGCTGGAGTTCAGAGCAGTTGAGACAGCATCCATGGAGACAGAGCAAGCTAAAGTTTTGATTCGATCTTTCAGATAAACTCCTCATCCCTGAGGTTAGACTGACTGGCCTGCAATTTCCTGGTCTATCTTTTACTCCCTTCTGTAAATAACAGGACAATGATAACAGTTCTCCCACACACTCTGGCTCCTCACCTGCGCCTGAGGTGGGGGGGGGTGTCTGAAAATTACTGCCAGGCCTCCTGAATATCTCCTCACTCCCCTCCCTCAGCAGCCTGGTGCACAGCTCATGCAGATCTGCAGGTCCATCCGTTATTGAAGCTGCTAAATTCTCTAGTACTTCCTCTCTCGATGTTAGTGTCTTTTCACAGCCCATCCACCCTGAGATCTAAACTTGTGATGTCCTTTTCCATGGTGAAGGCTGACACAAAGTATGCATTAAGGACTGTGTCCTCATCCTCCAGACACACACACAGACACACAACCTCCACACTCCCTCATGGGCTCTACTCTTTCCCTCATCATTCCTGTGTTTTTTATAGATTTTAAAATCCCTTTGGCGTTTCCCTTATTCCATCCACTGATGCTCACTCACGTGCCCTTCACTTTCCTAATTTCCCCTTTTATATTTTTTTACACTCCTCTCAGGGCTCGGCCATACTGAGCCCTTGATATCTGCCATAAGCTTCTCTTTGTTTAAACCCTGACCTTTAGCATCCATCGACACCCAGGGCTTTCCCTGTCTTAGTCCCTCCCTTGCTCTTGCAGGAACATATTTGCCCCAAACTCTCACTATTCCCTCCTCAAATGCCTCCCACTGCTCGGATATAGTTTAATCATCAAGTAAGCATTTGCAGTCCCCTTGTGCCAAATTGTACCTTATCTTAATTAGAAGTCGCCTTTCCCTGGTTAGAACTTTTATTCCTTGCTGATCATTATCCTATTTCAGAAATATCCCAAATCTAATTGCATTATGGTCACCATCTCCAAAATGCTCCCCTCCTGATCGGCCTTCCACCTGCTCAGGCACATTCTTGGATATTCGAGTCCAGAACTGCTCTCTCCCTCGTTCAGCTTTCTAATCACTTCCCCGAGATGCAATTTCAGAGTTTGGTTTCCTCTCTATCTTGAATATTAAAACTATCCCAGTTAATAGTTGGGTAGTTAAAGTCCCGACTATTACTGCCTTATAGTTCTTACAATTGTCTGAAATATGATGACATAGCTGATCCTCTGTCTCTCCATTGCTGTTTGGGGGCTGTATTACACACCCAGCAGTGTGCTTGCCCCTTTTGTAGTTTTTAGTTATGCCCATATGGTCTCATTTGATGATCCTTTAAGGTATTGTCTCTTGTCATTGCTGTAACTGAGTCCCTGCAACACCTCCCGCTCCTCTACTGTCCCCTTCCTACTGAATTCCCTCTGACCAGCAATGTTGAACTGCCCAACTTTCAGCTAACTCTCAGTCACAGTTATATCACACCCCCATGTAACTCCTTGTTCACTCAGCATGTCTACCTTATTCCTCAGGCTCTTTGCATCGAAATACATTCCATTTCGCTATGCTAAACTGAATCCTTAGCTGGATAAGGTTTTCTCTGCCTTCCAGACTCACTCACTCATGTTTTAACTTTAATTCCTGGGCAGCCAAGCGATTAGCACTGCTGCCTTAGAACGCGGGGATCAGAGTTCAATCCCAGCTTTGTGTGACTGTGTGGAGTTTGCACATTTTCCCTGCATCCGTGGGGGTTTCCTCTGGGTGCTCCGGTTTCCTGTCACAGTCCAAAGATGTGCAGGTTAGGTAGTTTGACCATTCTAAATGCCAGGTTACAGGGATGGAGTGGGATGCTCTTCAGAGATTTGGTTCAGCCTTGATGGGCCGAAGGGCCTCTTTCTGCGCTGTATGAATGCCATCTCAGCTTCTTGCCCCTCGCAGCCATGTGCCATCCCCACCCATTGAGTTTAAAATCATCCCAGCTGCTTTAGTGAATCTCCCTATGTGGATGTTGGTCCTATTCAGATTTAACCCGACCAATCCATCTGCTGTAATCTTCCATCCATCTACTCCCTACTGCACGGCAGCAGGAGTAACCCAGAGACTACTACCTTTCAAACCTAACTCTTCAATTTCTTACTTAACTCAGTTTGCTTGCAGGACCTAATTTCTCTCTCCTACTACATCAATGGTCTGAATATGGACCATGACCTCTGTTCACCATTCGCCTTCAGAAAGTCCTGCTCCCCCATTCCCATCCCACAGGATCAGCCAAACCATGAGGAGCACCTTGGATTCCCCAATGCAGGGTGTCAATGTTTTAATTTTGTGTATGAACAGGTTGTCAAAGTAAACAGCACTATTCATCTATTGAAAGGTATGTTAATGTGTAGTTAAACATTATGTATTATCCACACACAAAAGGGGGTCAGTTAACTCAGTTGGCTGGATGGCTGGTTAGCAATACAGAGGGTCAACGAGGGCTCATTTCTCATCCCAGCTGACGTTACCATGAAGGAATCTTTTTCTCAACCTCTCCCCTCACCTTGAGGTGCACTGACCCACAAGTTAAACTCACTACTCTTTGCTTGTCCCTCTCTAATGAGAGAGTGGTCCTCTGGGAGTATGGCAATTTTATGTTTTCAAAAATACTCAATTACTTAGGCATGAAAAACCCAAAAAAAAAGAGAGAATATACCATTTTCTTGATGGGATTAGAGCACAGCATTAATAATTCAGAAAGCACATTCGGATTTCAGTGTAGGCATTTTGAAATTTGAATTCAATTTAAAACTTACATCTGGAAACAAAGAGCTGGGAATCAGTAAAAGTGACTAAGGAGCTACCAGATTGTCAACATGCATTTCTTATCATTCCTGCCACAACATCTCATTATCCCAAAGTACTTAAGTAATAAAAGTAGAAGTTTTGTGATTTGTCCTCTCTCGTATAGATAATACAGTGGCCAATGCAGGCGCTGAAAGCTCCCACGAACAGCAATGTTGTGCTGGCTAGATATTGTTTTCAGTGATGTCAGTGGAAGGATAACTATTTGTCAGAACACCAGGGAATTCCCCCTTTCCTTTAGGACAACGTATGGGATCTTGGGTTCAACTGAGGGATCCTCAATTTCAAGTCTTATCAAAACCCAGCATTTCAACAGAGCACCATCCCCTTCAATAATGCACTAACTGCATTCAACCTAAACTATTTACTGAAGGGTGAGGTGTGGGACTTTAGCAGGTAACTGCTGATGCAGAGGGGAGACTATGGCAGACTTTCACCATAAACCAGACTGTTTCAGTAATGTCCTTTAAAAGGTGAAATCCTTCCAGTCCAGTTTGACAGTATCGAGAGTCTGAGCTACCTTCTGCAGATTCCAAGACAGTGGCTTAACATCCCCATCACAACATTACCACAGAGAGACAGACAGAGACAGAGACAGAGACAGAAAGAATGAGAACGAAAGAAAATCAATGCTGGAATTTGTGTACTAGACAAGAATTGGAGGAGGAGAGATCTCAGAAGGTAATAAAGGTTGCATGGAGGATGTTAGAGATAGGGAGGTGGTGAAGCTGTGGAAGGAATTGAAGCCCCAATGTAGATCAGGGAACACAGGTGTCATACAAAATATCTTTGTGCTTAATAAGTTGTGGAGCTGGATGAACACAGCAGGCCAGGCAGCAGAGGAGCAGGAAAGCTGACGTTTCGGGTCTGGACCCTTCTTCATTTTCTGATGTCTTTGTGGTTGTAGATTTTTCTATAAAACACTTCAATGGATGGAGATGACATTTTCTGTCCTTGCAGATATTCAGAAGTATCCTCAGAAGAGAAATGAAAGACAAGGAGCACATGGATCTCTCTCGGAAAATTACGGACTGGGCTTATGGTCCCATTTCTTCATCGCTCTATGATGTCACTGGAGTGGACACTTTGGAGGAGAATTCCGTTCTGAATGTTGTCGTGTTTAACACAAAAATCCAGGCAAGTCTACTTGAAATTGACACTTCCAGTTCATCATTTCTGCATCAGTAGATTTTCTTTGACCAAAAAAAAAATAATTGATGGTATGGGATAGAATTGAAACAGTTATTTGAAAGACAGTTTACCTCTCACCTCACTGAAACCTTTACTTTTCTCCAAGTCTTCATTTAAGCTACACTGATCATTGGTTACACCATCTGTCAAATATAAGTGATCATTTATACCCGCCCGCTGCATCCTATTAGCTAATGCATCCTCTATCCGTGATAATACATTACCCTTGACACCATGAGCCATTTCATGTTGTAACCTTCCATGTGGCACCTTGTCAAATGCCTTCTGGAAATCTATGTAATTGGCTCTCCATTATTCATTCAGAAATAGTAGAAACTGCCGATGCTGGAGTCTGAGATGGCAAGGTGTGGATGAACACTTCCCTCTCACCTATCTGCCCCTCCCTCCTCACTGACCAATCCCCATCCCAACTCCCTACCTACACTCACCTGTACTGGCTCCATCCCTGCCTCCTTGACCTGTCCGTCTTCTCTCCACCTATCTGCTCCTCTATCCACCTTCCGTCATCGCCTCCCCCCTCTCTCTCTTTATTTCAGAGCTCCCTTCCCCTCCCCCATTTCTGAAGAAGGGTCCAGACTTTCCTGCTCCTCTGATGCTGCCGGGCCTGCTGTGTTCATCCAGCTCCACACCTTGTTATCTCCATTTTTCGTGTTGATTGTCACTCCCTGAAAAGAATGCTATTGAATTAGTCAAGCAGTTTCCCTTTCACAAATCCACATTGACTATGGGATTACATTAAGATTTTACAGTCCTGCTATAAACTCGAGTAGATTCCAGCATTCGGCCCCCGATAGATGCTGGACCAAACCAGCCTGCAGTCTTCTGCTTTGACAGTCTCCTGGACGGAGGAGTCACGTTTACTACTGGAAATCTGACACAATCTTTTCTAAAAACCCAGGAAATGGTGGAAAATTAGAACCAATCCATCTATCATCTCAACAGCCACTTCTTTAGACACCTCAGAATGAAGTCCACTAGGGCCAGGGCACTTTGGTTCCAATAAGTCTCCCTCACCCTTTTCCTGAGACATTCCTCAGACAAAGAAAATCTTTCAATTCATCTCATTGCTTCATTGACCATTATTAATTGCTCAGACTCTCTAGATGATCAGTGTTTAAAAGACCCATCGAAATGTACTGTCCACCTTTATATTTCTTGCTAGCTTTCTCTGCACTCATTCCTGTCTCCTTTATTAATCTTTGCTGTCATCTATATTTTGTCCAATCTTCTGACCTACTCCCCACCATTGCAGAATTATAAACTTGGCTTTCTTCGACGTGGAGGTGCCAGTGTTGGACTAGGTGGAGAAAGTCAGCAGTCACTTCACCTATAAAAAAAGGGGCTGCACTCCGAAAGCTTGCGATTTCAAATAAACCTGTTGGACTACAACCTAGTGTCAGGTGAATTCTGACTTGGTTTTCTTCAGTTTGACACTATCAGACTTCCTTGGTTAGCAACAGATGGTGTCGAATGCATATTGAGTGCTCTGAAACATCTCCTTAAAAGTGCAATATTTGATCTGTACTAGCCCAGCCCTTAACCTAATTTCTCAGCTAATTTAAGTCAGCTCTGCTTCTAATTCATATGTTCATACGCTTAAAATTACAAATGGTTTGAACAGGGTGAGAGTGGAGACAGAGCTCATGTTTTGTTCAGCAAAAGGTATTAAGGGATATGGGCTAAAGGCGGGTACATAGAGTTAGGCCACAGATCAGCCATGATCTCACTGAATGGCCTCTTCCCATTCCTAATCCAAAACTATACCAGACAATTCCTAATAAATCCAAGAGGGAAAATGAAAAATATCCTTACTCGGCAGAACAACATAGACTCACTGTCACAGCAAGTACTTTGGGTAAGTGGTTGAGATGCTTTCATAAGGAAATTAAACTTGCATGGTGATAAAGGTAGAAGAAACGGCTGAAAAGCCGAGATGAAAGATGGAGTGCAGAAGGCTTGCACCAAGTATAAATACCAACACACTAATGAAGCAGAATGCCTTTACATTGCGGCAAATTCTTCATAATTATGACATTCAATGGTTATAGCCTCTGTTACTGAAAGTCACAGTGGTTTAAATGCTGCATAATTAATGTGTATATCATAAATAGACACCTGAGAGTTGCAAATTTCAAAAGTTGCTGGATGTTCGTGCTAGCCATGTGAAAATTGTATCTCACTCTTGACCTTCCCAACAGTTTTATCAAGTCATAAACCAATAAAAAGGCTACAGATTGTTGTAAATCAGAAACAAAAACAGAAACTGCTAGACAAGCTCAGCAGGTCTGGCAGCACTTGTGGAGAGAAATCAGAGTTAACAGTTTGCGTTCAGTGACCCTTCCTCTGAAACGTTAACTCCTAACTCTGCTGAGCTTTTCCAGGAATTTGTTTTTGTTTTATCAAGTTGCTACATTTGCACACTAACTGCCCCTTTAAACTCATGACAGAAAGTTAGGTGATTAAATTGAGCACCTCTTTTAATATTTAGATTCTCACAATGCCAGCTTCTCCAATGCAGGGAGACCAGTGGAAACTGCAGTATCAGTGCCTGCAGGGAGTAATGGTTTACTTTTTGCTTAAACTTCCTTTCGGCTCTTTCTTAGCTTTCCTTTCTTATGCTTGTACTTGATTTATCAAAGTATTTCTCTCATTGTTCCTCTGCTTCTTCCAATTCCTTCAATCCCATGAGGTTAAGCAGATAGAGTGTCAACACCCATTGTTCACCCAAGGTCAAAGATGTCACATTGCCCTCAGCACTCACTTCATTTTATAGGGAGGAAATGTTTCTATAGTTTAACACATCAGATTCCTTTAGATACCGTGCTACAAAGTCTTATTTTTTCCCCTCTCTTCACCTCATTTAGAACAGGCACATGTTGCTCTGTGTGGAACCTTTGAACGCTCTACTTGAGCAAAAGTGGAAGAAATTTGCGGTCTACATGTTCACTGTCAACTGCCTCCTGTATCTGTGTTATGTTATCACTTTTACGGCCATTTATTATGACGACGAGTGTCATGCAAATAAGGTGAGTAGTTCCTTTAAAAGACTTGCCATTTCCAAAAGGGGCAGCTCTTCAAAAGCTTGTGATTTTAAATAAACCTGTTGGACTATAACTTGGTGCTGACTACCCCACCTCCACATCATTTAATTTATAAAATACCCCTCACAACCTGTGCACATTCTCACCGTGTCTCGGGTTTCCTCTGGGTGCTCCGGTTTCCTCCCACAGTCCAAAGATGCGCAGGTTAGGTGGATTGGCCATGCTAAATTGCCCATAGAGTGTTCAGGAATGTATAGGCTAGGTGGGTTAGACATGGGAAATGCAGGATTACAGAGTGGGTTGTTCTTTGGAGGGTTAGTATGGACTTGATGAGCTGAATGGCCTGCTTCCACCCTGTAAGGATTCTATTCTACCTCACAACATCCCAAATATAATACCCCAAAGCACCTGCTGTACTTGGTTAGGTCTGTGATGATCTGCATCTCACACAATGTGGATTCACACATTCACCTTCACCTTCACCTTCACCAACCTGCTGGTGAGAAAGCAAACAGCCCCACCCCACAATCTCTCAAAGAAATTCACTGGCATTATAAACAAATTCTTATCAAAGATAATGATGCCCCATGGTGCTTAGCAGCCAATAAAGTATTTTATGAACACAGTTGTAATGTTGAAAAAGCAACAACTAACTTGCACAGAGATAGTGAGAACTGCAGATGTTGGAGTCAGGGATAACACAGTGTGGAGCTGGAGGAACACAGCAGGCCAGGCAGCATTAGAGGAGCAGGAAAGCTGGCGTTTCGGGTCAGGTCTGAGGAAAAAAGTCTGAAGGGTCCTGACCCGAAACGTCAGCTTTCCTGCTCCTTTGAAGCTGCCTGATCCGCTGTGTTCCTCCAGCTCCAAACTTATCTCTTATTTATAATTATTTTGCACAGACCAACTTTTCACAAATGGCAAAATTGATAACACTTAGATAACAATAACCCCTAAAAATTGGTCAAAGGATAAACACTGGGTGGATCACTGGGGATCATGAAGTAATGGTGTGGGATCTTTTGCAGTAGGAGAGGGCATGCAGCTTCATAACTCCTTCAAAGGATAATGTTTCCAATAATGCAGCACTCCCTCTGTACTGCACGCAAGGGTCTGCCTAGGGCTTTTGTGCTTGTTTCCCCAATGGAACTTGAGACACAAACTTCCCACCTTTAAATATCCAGCCAGCTGTATGGCACTGCAATACTTTTTGGGATTTTGCTGCTTCTTACCGATGTGAATTCATCAGGAATCTGCCCATGTGACGAGAGGTGACAAAATTAGGGTTAGGATTGAGGTGACCCACCCTGCCAAGCCCACATCCCATGCAGATACATCAGATCAAATAAACTGTCAGCATTGAATGTATTATATTTTCAGTTTCAGACAAACATCACATCCACCTCATTGGGCAAACTCAGTGGACAAGTTTTAATTTTAACGTGGGCTCTTGCCTTACTTATCATAGAAGTAAGTAACACAATTATTATCCTATGTTGTGTTTCTTTGCAAGAAGGGACAATAAACAATTAGAAAGGCATATAGTCTGTTAGCCCGCATAATAAGAAGGTCAGAGAATAGGAATAAGGATGTTTTGCAAACGTGACTTTCGTGGAACTACATCTGAAGAGTACTTAACAGGAAATCATACGAGAGAGAGGAGTAGACCTTTCACTGCCAGAGTGGTCTTGATGGGATAAGTAATGAATGATCTAATTGTGGGTTCAACTCCAGTTTCCCACCAGTCCCCAATAATACTCAACTCCCTCATACATCAAAAAAAAATCAATCCAGCTCAGCTTTGATATATTCCATTGACCCAACTCCAACACTCTCTGGGAAAGAGAATTTCAGACATTAACAACCCTCAAGAAATTTCTCATCTCCATTTTAAATGGAAGACCCCTGATTTTTCAATGTACCCCTAGTTTCTCCCGCAAGGTTATATACTCCCAGCATTTCACCCATTAACCTCAATCAGAATTTTGTATATTTCAATAAGATTACCCCCATTCTAAACACTAATTGTATATAACTTTACTCATCACCAAAGTAGTTTTGTGCCAGCTTAGGAGGTGTGATCAATGTTCATGAGATTGACTTTCCAGGTGAGATACATGACCTCAGAGTGAACTGAACCTTCTTTTTAAACAAAAAGGAAAAATGGTTTGGATGAATGAGAAGAGAAATAGGATTCTGAGGAGCCTCAACAGGACGACTGTTGACGGCATTTCCTCTGTGGAGTCATGAAAAATTTGATCACGTGGAGACAGAGACAGAGGGCAAGAGAAAGCTATCAATGGTAACTCCTGTACTGATTTGACAGATTTTCATGGAGTCCTTAAGTACCTGTTGACCTTAACTAAACTGAATTGTACACAATTGTAGTGAACTGGTTGAACTTGTAGTTTACCATATTTTTGTGTTGTGTAATGCTGCATTATAAATTTGTTGGTTATTTGCAATAAATGTAGGGTTAGATAAGGTTTTGTCATATCACAAAGTTGGATTTGGTTTAAGCTGGTCATTTGTTAATACAATCACAGTGGCAACATGTTCACATCACTAGATTAAGAACCCAGAGATTCAGACAATGACCCAAAGACATGATCACATGTCACAATGGTAATTTGCAAATTGGATTCAATTATTCAATTAAATCTAGGTTAAATAGCTAGCGCTGTCTCAGCAACAGTGACCTTGGAGCTGCTTGGTCACTGCAGAAACCAACAGGTCCTTCAGGGAGGTAGTTTTAACCTAATCTAGTGCAAATGACTTCAGACCTGCATTAATGTAATTCGCTCAACTCCTCTGTGAAAGTGTGGACCAAACTACAAAGGCAGCTGTCTGTCAACTTCTCATGAGCAAAGAGTAACAACAATCTTGGCCAACTTTCCAGTCATTGCCCACATCCTAAGATTCCATTGTTTCATATTTACTTTCCTTTTTAAAATAAAATGAGCTGGATTAGTTTTGAGGTTTTTGTGTTAGTTCTGGTTGCACTGGTATGATTTGACTTTATATTAAAGATGTTTTCTTTAAAAATCTTGTAGGTAGAATCAATAGCCCGCTTGAGACTTTCTGACCTTCAATCAATAATGACAGATGCATGGTTCCACATCCTGTTGTAAGTGTACCTTTCAATAGTTGAATTGTTGGGTAGGGGCTGGTCATTTTGCTGAGTTGGACAGACGACTAACTTGCGATATAGAGTAGTGCCAACATTGTCAGTTCAACTTTCACCCTGGCTAAGGTAACAGTGAAGGACTCTCTCCTTTAACTTCTCCCCTCACCTGAGGTATGGTGACCTAAAGGTGAACCACCAGTCGTGTCTCTCTCTACTGAGAGTAGATCTATCATCTAGAAGGACTATGGTAACACTACCTTTTATCATCGAATGGATTAGGACAAGATTCCCTTGTTGTTAACCAAAATGTAAAAAAATTGGGCTCCATTGGATATAATCTACGCTGGCAATCAGAAATGTTGCATCATCCAAGATAGTCCTTTTCTTAACAAAATCATCGGCAAGATGTGAGCATCACCGTCTGCCTGATGTCTCTCTACTTACCCTTGAGAAGATGTTGGTGAGCTGCCTTCTTGAATGGCTGTAGTCCACATGGAGAAGTCGCATGCCTTTGGGGAGGGAGTTCCAGTGTCCCAGTCAGACTGAAGGAACAGCAATATATATTCCCTGAACTGGATGGTGAGGGCCTTGCAAGGAAACGTGAAGCTCCTGGAACAAACTAGCTGCCCAAATCATCAACTCCAAACATCATCTTTTATATTTGGATCAGGGGTCTCATGGACTACCCATAATAGTCTCAGCTGCAAGTAGGTTCTATCATTCCGAACAAGGTCACCAATTTTAAGACTTCGGTTTGCAAATCTAGGCTTACAGTAGACAGCAGTATTCAAGAAATGCTGCATGGTGTGAAGTGAGCAGAGGCTAAAATTAATCCATCAGCTAATACATTAAAAAAAATGCTGGTTATCAGTGTTGTTTGCAAGCTTGCTACCTGCAAATTGGTTGTCCAATTTCCTTCATTAAAACAGCAAACCTACCTCAAAAAGTACTTCATTGCAGTGCTTTAGATTGGCATAAATACAATGGTTTTGTTTTCCTTTCAGCTTTTTGCAGCTTGGGTTGGCAGTTTTATGCACCATATTAAACTGGGCAGGTGTGGAGCTCCAACTGGCAGTACGGGTGTTGGCTATGGTTCTCGGCTGGATTAATATCCTGTATTACACCCGAGGGTTCCAGAGCATGGGTATCTATAGCGTCATGCTGCAGAAGGTGAGAGCGAGCTTGAAAACCAGCCTAACACAATTCAAAGCTACGTTTAGAGGAAAAACATGGATGAAGTACTTTAAGTCAAAAGGTTTTTGTTTTAGAGTCGGAGAGTTATACGCACAATTTATATATATGGGCCATTTTAGCAATGGAGAGGCAGCAAGAACAGCTCACAATCAGTCCTGGCTCTCAGATCAGGTAGGCAATGCCATGGCAAAGCAGCACAGATTGTACAAAAGGGATTATGGATTTTGTCAATCTAAAAACAAGTTCTTTTTGCTGAGAGAAGACAGCATCCTGTATTAATATATACAACTTCTAGTACATGCAAATACATCACACCACACAACTGACTGAATCTTAGTTTCCAGTGTAAATATCAGCGCTGTCCTGTTTATTTATTAATTGCTGTCCATTGGCAATCACATTCAATGGTAGTGCACACTCGAAAGTCTGCAAGCTCTGGCTCGTTCAGCACAATTGACACACTGTCCACTATGAATGGTCACTGACCAGGGTGTTGCATTTTGCTATGTTACCATGGCAACACCCTGGTCAGAGTCTACCTTCCTGGTCTGAGAAGTAAGATTACCAGTTGCCTGTTCCTGCTGCATCTCCATACCAACAACAGCCCAACCAATCAGCAGCCTCTCCTCATTTCAAGTGTATTCTTTTCAAATGCATTCCTGTGTCCTGCTCACGGTGAATCTAAATCTCTTTTTCAGCAATATTTATATTCTGAAATACTCCTGCACCAAGTGGGAGACGATGATAATGGAAGTGAGCAAGGAGAATATTTGAAAGGGACAATATAACGTCTTTCAAGACACAGACATTGCTGGAGATGGAGGGCAGTGAGTCACAGCAAGATAGCCAGGAGATATAACCGAACCAAGGAGAGTCAGGAAGTTTAAAAAACCTCAGAAGAACTGCAGATGCTGGAAATCTGAAATAAAAACAGAAATTGCCAGAAAAGCTCAGCAGGTCTGGCTGCATCTGTGAAGAGAAATCAGAGTTAACATTTCAGGTCCAGTGACCCTTCTTCAAAACTTGAAAGTTAGGAAGAGTCTGTATGAACAACTAGCATTTCATGTGACACCTTTGATGCAAGATGGCAACCCAAAATCATGCAAGAGCTTTATAGTTTTCTTAAAATGGCGGTGGGATTTAATGAGGAATAGGGTTTAGTTCAAAACAGCAGAAGGCACAGCCTGTAGAGAGGCAAGGAGGGTGGGGTTTTATAAACAGGCTTCAAAACAGTTCTAAAGGAGACTGTGGAGATTGGGAAGGATAATGCCACAGGGAAATTTAAACAAAGATAGAATTCTAAGCTGAAGCACTGCTCCGCAATTGTTCCAAGCTGGAAATAGAAACATAGAAAATAGAAGCAGGAGGAGGCCATTCAGCCCTTTGAATCTGTTCTGCCATTCTTCATGATCTTGGCTGATCATCCAACTCAACAGCCTAATCCTGCTTTCTCCCCATAACCTTTAATCCCATTCGCCCCAAGTGCTGTATCTAGCCGCCTCTCGAATACATTCAATGTTTTGGCATCAACTACTTCCTGTGGTAATGAATTCTCACAGACTCACCACTCTCTGGGTGAAGAAATGTCTCCTCATCTCCATCCTAAATGGTCTACCCCAAATCCTCAGACTGTGACCCCTGGTTCGGGACACACCCACCATCGGGAACATCCTTCCTGCATCTACCCTGTCTAGTACTGTTAGAATTTTAAGACTCTGAGATTCCCCCTCATTCATCTGAACTCTAATGAAAATAATCCCAACCTAGTCAATCTCTCCTCATAGGTCAGTCCCACCATCCCTGGAATCAGCCTGGTAAACCTTTGTTGCACTCCCTTGACAGCAAGTGCATCCTTCCTCAGAAAAGCAGTTCATTTTTAAAGCAAGGCTTAGAATGCGAACAAGAAATCTGGCTCCATACACAATGCAAATTAAACGTTGGTAGACCTTACCCCACACAGTCTTTGCCTTTGTAGTCATTGGGCGTTGCTCCCTCCAACCCCATGTCCCGCCACAGCATTTAGCTTGCAACAGCTGATCAGCAAGACCAAGGCAGGCCATTGACAAGGCAGTGATCAAGAGTGGCCAAGGATGGGTTTCATCCCTTAATCGTAGTACTGATTAATTTGGGGAACACAAATAAGCATTCCCAATCTGTTTTTTTTTTTTAAGAAATGTAATCATTGATCCTGCTAAATCAGTTGTTTTCACTCTTTCAGATTCTGCTAACTGATGTTGTGCGGTTCCTGTTTATTTACTTACTGTTCCTAATTGGATTTAGCACAGGTAAATCTTCTGTTATATTTTCCAGTTTCTCTTAATCTACAGGTCAAAACTGTAAGGGTCCTACAAAATGTAAAATCCCAGAGATTATTCCATTGCACATTAAGCCAGCTCCTACTACACTCACTGATCCCAATTCCATTACAGCATTCTAACTGTTATTTAAAGTGATATCTTTGCCATCTAAAACAGATCCTGATGGAACTTTAAAACACAAGTCTCATGATTCTTCCAATGCCCTCTGCCAATGTAGTAGCTTCCTAGTCCGACCGTGTCCTTTCCATCATGGATATCAATCCCTCTATATTTCAGCTTCACCCCCCCCCCCCCCCCCGCCCCCCCCCCCCCCCCCTCGTCCCCATTAGGATGGCTAAAAGGCTGTCTGCATCTGCACAGTACATAGATCCCCAAACTGCTGCTCCTGGCTAAACTCGATTACCACCAGAATTGTCAGTGTCCTGGAGCTCACAACCAAACAACACTGTGGGTGTGACTTCAAGGCAAAGGATCAACATCACTTTAACGGTAACACCCATATGTAATGAACAAATAAAACTGCATTTCTCTTTGACACAAATAACTTTGTCGAAATGAAAAAAGGCATCGCTATGGGAAGTGGCACATTGAAACGTTTTTCCATACAGAGGGCAGGAGCGCAAGAGAGCACGAAAGCGAGCGACAGAAAGAAAGAAAGCAGGAAAGAAAAAGAAAGAAAGGAGAGAGAAAGAAGGAGTGAGAAAGAAAGAAAGCAAGTGAGAAAGAAAGCAAGAGAGAGACAGAAAGCAAGCAAGAAGAGACAAACAGATTTTGGGATTGGACGGGTGGCAATAACAACACAAACATATGCAAGGAGGGGTGCAAGACCATCCAAAGCCATGAGTGGAACTGCAGTGCCTGCTGATTGATGGGTGGTAGTTCAGTTTGAACTTCACTTTCTTCACACATTAATCTAAATTCTGACACCAACAGCACTTGCCTCCCTGATTCAGAAATGCACCGACAAGGAGGGGTGCAGTGCTTTTGACAGTTTCAACACTGCACTGCTAGAGCTATTCAAGCTAACCATTGGTCTGGGTGATCTGGAAGTACAGAAACAAGCAAAATACCCACAGCTCTTCCTCTTCCTCTTGGTGTTGTATGTTGTCCTGACCTTTATCCTCCTGTTGAACATGCTAATCGCACTGATGGGGGAGACCGTGGAGAATATTTCCAAAGAGAGCAAGAACATCTGGAAACTACAGGTATCTAAAAATGTCTGCTTCTCCTATTATTACAACAGTTTTTGGATCGGGAGAAACTACTACTCCTCATGAACATTCACCCCTATTCACTTGGATTACACTCAGGGCGCGACTGCTGTCCTCCTGGTAACTCATTCAATTGGCCATCCCTTATTCCCCAAATCAGTGAGCTCTACAAGACCAGGAGGCCTTACACCACTTGTACGTTCTACTGCAAACCACACACCATCCCGACTTGGAACCATATCACTGTTCCTTCACTGTTACTGGGTCTAAATCATGGGACTTCACTCCAAAGAGCATGGGAAGTGTATCTCACCACAGGGACTGCAGTGTTTCAAGGTGGCTCATCACACTGCAGGACAATAGATGCCAGCTTTGTCAGCAACACCCACATTTCATACGCTAATCTAAAAGAATTAAGCCTGAAAAGCAAGCACTGCCTCCCTAAAGTTAGCAAGCCAGGTGACGAAAGCAGAAATCCAGCTACAAGTCCCTACACTTTCAGTCATGTTCAATGTGCAACAATCAGGACTAGGAATTCCAGCCACATTTCCACATCCAAGATGCTAAAGCTTATAGCTTCCCTTCCAACACTAGCTCAGACAAAGGCATGATCTGGGACCTCCAGGTCTGTGAAAGAGGACTGAAGAGGGTCCTGGCTATCTTCAAAGTTCTGCATTAAATCAGAGTCAAAATTTATGCAAGACGTCATCACGGTAGCTGAGAGACACACACTAACTAGACGGTAAAATAGAACAAATTACCAAGGGGAGGCGTACGCTTAGATTTTAAGATGAATCCTTGGGTTTATGTTGCTACACTATTAACTAATGAATTAAGCCATGAACAACTTCACAAGACGTGACATGTAATCAAAAAATAGATTTTGTGATCAGATTATGTATCACAAAAATAGCTTTCCTAAACCAATTCAAAAACACCTTCTCCCAAGTACAAAACCAAGCTTTTCTAATCATTCACCCAATGTAAGCATCGATTTGTGTGCCCATTGCTAATTGCCTTGAAGCAAATGGTTACCCACCTTCTTGCATGGCAGTAGTCCAACTGAAATCAGTGCACTCTGTCAGGGAGTTTAGCCCAAAGCAGTGAAGAAGTGGTGATTTATTTCCAAGTCAGGATGGTGAGGCACTTGGAGAGGAACTTGCTAGGGGCGCTCATATGAATTTGCTGCCCTTGTCCTTCCACATGATTGAGGTTGCAGGTTTGGACAGTGCTGCAGTGTGTCTTGTTCATGCTGCTGCCACTACACAGCAAAAGGTGAAGGTTAAGGTGCTTTACGTTTCCTCAATCTTTTCCTGCTGTGTGGATCTCTGAAGGTTATGCACAGCAGCAGCTACTAGAGCCAGAAGTCAATGTGTCCACTTGCCAGTTGGTGTGCACGACACTGAGCAACAATGCAGCTTACAGGGAAGATGGAAGGTGGTGTATTTTTAACAAAAATTTTCCATGGGATATGGGGGTCACTGGCAATTCCAACATTTGCTGCCTATCCTTTATCGGTTGGTTTGTTAGGACATTTTCACAGGGCAGTTCAGTAACTACCCACAAATCGTACACTCACCAGACTCAGCAAGGATGGCACATTTCCTCCCCCAAAGAACACGAGGTAGTTTTATGACAATCAACAATTGCCATCATGGTCAGAGTCACTGGTGCTAGCTGCATGTGCTGGATTTATTAATCAAATTCACAGACAATCAGCTGCCATGATGGGATTTGAATCCTTGACCCCATAGCATCGGTCTAGATCTCTGGATTACTGGTGCAGTGCCTAGTGATCAGTGTACCAATCAAACTGGCTGGCTACTTTATCCTGCATGGTGTTGGGAGTTTCCTCGAACATTCCAGCACAAAGTATTCCATGAAATTCCTGACTGTGTGCTTTGTAGATGGTGGATGGGCTTTGGAGAGACAAAGGGAGTTCTTCACTGCAACATTCCTGGTCTCTGACCCGTTTCTGTAACCATAGTGAGATGGCTAGTCCAATTGAAATTTAACTTGGAATGTTGAAACTTTAATATTACTGTGCTACCACACTAATAATAAATTTTTATACATTGAAACAGGTCCAAAACTTTAAGACTTATTGGTTCTTCTCATTGTATAAGTGGAGGAAGCTAATACTGTGTTTATTTTAACATGTTCCCTTCCCTCAATGGTCAAATTGATTCCAGAGAGCAAGAACCATTCTGAACCTGGAGAAGTTATTACCAAATTATCTGAAGAAGAAATTTCAACTGGGGAAAATATTTCAGGGCAAGAGATACATCAGGTAAAAGAAAACATTAAATCTGGTGGTGTGCTACATCAATAATGAGAGGTGCTGCACTTAGGGCATTAAGAATTTCTTTTAAGGGCAACTCCTCTTAAAAAAAAAGGTCAGGAGTGCAATGGGGAGAACAAGTCTCACCACAGAAGGGAAAAAGCTTCACCCACTACTCCACCCCACTGACCCCAACACTCTCCAGCAGCAAGAGTGCCATTAAAGAGGTAGTGCAGAATTTAGGACATTTACTGCAAGCAAGGATGTTAAGACTCTGCAGATCTTTGTATTGATTTTTGGGATAGTGGTGTGGCTTTGAAGGCCAGCATTGTATTGCCCCCATAACAAGCTGCCCTGGGGTGGTGGGGTGAGCTGTCTTGAACTTCTGCAGTCTATGTGCTGAAGGTGTGACCCATGATACTGTTAGGTCAGATGCTCTGGAACACCGATCCAGCAAAAGAGGAAAGATGGATTTCACAACCAGAGCATACTTGACCTATTTTACAGCAAATACACCTCTTGTTGTAATGCAGGAAGCATGTCAGCCAATGTGTATAAATCAAGCTCCAGTAAACAGAAGATGAGGAGTTGAGGGACACTGTTCAAAGAGAGATATTGGCTGGAACACAAGGGATAACCCCCCCTACTCCTCTTCAAAATAGTGTCATGGGATTTTTGCAACTACCAGAAACTTCAGGTGAAGCCTCAGTTTAATGTTGCACCCAAACTACCACCTCAGGCAGTATAGTACTGCCTCAGGCTATGACTAGTGGAGTCCTGAAAGAATCAGTGCTTAGGCCCCAGTTTTCAAAATCTAGATCAATAATTTGGGTGTAGGAACAAAACGTAATGATGCAAAAAACAGGTAGGAATAAAAAGTTCTTTACATCCTCCTCACAACTGAAGGGAACTTGGAGGTTGAGTGAGTGGATGGAATATAGTGTGGAAAAATGTGAAGCGATCCACTCTGGTAGAGAAAAATAAGAAGAGTAATTTAAAATGATAAAATTGTGAAGTGCCAATGTCTAAACAAACTTGACTGTCCTTGTTCAGTCACTGAAAGCTAGCACACAGGTGCATGAACAATTAACAAGGCAACTAGCATGTTGGCCTTCATTGTAAAAGAATCAAGAGGGACAGCATTAAAGTCTAGCTACAGTTCTGTAGAGTCTTGGTGAGACCACACCTGGAGTAGTGTCTACAGTTCCATTACCTGATATTGGATATGATATCCTTGCCACTGAGTGCACCAAAATCACCAGGGTGGTGGTTCTGTCCCACGAAGGTAGTGGTTACAGGGCTCAACAGGGTAGAGATGCATTTGACAGTCTCAGAATCAGAGAGTGGTCATTTAAGACTGAGCTAAAAGGAGAAATTGATTTACTCAAGATGATAAACCTTTGGAATTCTTTAACCCAGAGGCCTGTATGAGTCTCAGTTGAGTATGTCCAGGATAAGAGATTGATAGACTTCTAGATATTAAAAGATAAAGAAACTGGTTAGCAAGGTTAGATCACATGTTCTATAGGGAGAACTAGCCATTTGGACACAGAACTGGTTCAAAGGTAGAAGACAGGGTGGTGGAGGAGGGTAATTAAGAATAGGGGTAAACCTTTTAGAACTGAGATGAAGAGAAATTTCTAGAGAGAGAGAGAGAGAGAGTGGCGAGCCTGTGGAATTCATTACCACAAAGTGGTTGAGGCCAAAACATTATTTTCAAGGAGGTAGCTATAGCTCTAAAAAGGTGGATAATGGTGGGAGGATGGGTTTAGGGCTTTGAGTTTGTTGATCAGCTTATAGAACATAGAACAGTACAGCACAGTACAGGCCCTTCGGCCCACGATGTTGTGCCGAGCTTTTACCCTGAACCTAAGGTCTATCTAACCTCCACCCCTACCTTATACTATCATCCATGTGCCTATCTAATAGCCACTTAAATGCCCCTAATGAGGACGACTCCACTACCCTCTCCGGCAATGCATTCCACGCCCCAACCACTCTCTGAGTAAAGAACCTACCTCCACTCACTTTAAATCTATGCCCCCTCGTAATAGCAACCTCCCCACCCTAGGAAAAAGTCTCTGGCTATCCACTTTTTCTATACTTCTAATCATTTTGTACACCTCTACCAAGTCACCTGTCATTCTTCGTCGGTCTAAAGAGAAAAGCCCTAGCTCTCTCAACCTTTCCTCGTAAGACCTTCCCTCCATTCCAGACAACATCCTGGTAAATCTCCTCTGCACCTTTTCCAATGCTTCCACATTTTTCCTGTAATGAGGTGACCAGAACTGGACACAATACTCCAGATGTGGCCGAACCAGGCTTTTGTATAGCTGGAGCATAACTTCACGGCTCTTGAACTCGATCCCTCTATTAATGAAAGCTAACACACCATACGCCTTCTTAACAACTCTATCCACCTGGGTGGCAGCTTTCAGGGAACTGTGGACATGAACCCCAAGATCCCTCTGCTCCTCCACACTGCCAAGAATCTTTCCGTTAACTCTGTATTCTGCTTTCAAATTTGTCCTTCCAAAATGAATCACCTCACACTTTTCAGGGTTAAACTCCATCTGCCACTTCTCAGCCCAGCTCTGCATCCTAACAATGTCCCTTTGTAAACCAGAACAGCCCTCCGTACTATCCACAACTCGACCCACCTATGATCTATTGAATAGCAGAGCAGGCTTCAGGGATCGAATGGCCTACTCCTACTTCTATGTTTCTATCAAAGTTGGCTCATTTTAAAATTCAAATCATTTCTCAAATCAGGATCAATGAAGTTAACTGGACAAAGTGGAACACCAGTTTAGCTCGCATTAATGAAGACCCAGGGAATGAGGAGGAAGGTAAGTATATAGAATCACGACAGTCAAGATATAAATCACTTAAACATAATCACTTATTTAGTGCTGTCTACTAATGTTCAATGTGAAAAGGGATCTTTGCTTCATTATTAAGAGGTGGCATACACAAAAGCAAGATAGTTGTGCTAACCTCTAATAAAGCACTGGTCAGGCCACACAAAAATACAATATACGATTTAGGGCACCACAGAAGGATTTCAATCCCTTGGAGGAGGTGCACAAGATTTACCAGATGGATTCAAAAAAAGTGGGGCTTCAGTTTTCTGGGGGTAGGTAGGGAAACTGGGATTATTCACTTTTCCTTTACAGGGGGAGGACAGGGCAGGGTGGACAGATTTAATTGGGGACTTTACATTTATGAAGGGTTTTGGTGAAATTATCCTCTCTGGTCTGTAGGCCAGCCATTGGAAGATGGAGATTGGCTATTATTGGCTGCAGAGTGGGAATGGGGATAGGAGAGACTTCTTTTTGCAGGTACGATCTAGAGAGTGCTTCCTGAAAAAGGGGGCATAAGCATATTCAGTTACAACTTTTAGAGGGGAATTAAACAGAATACTTGGGGGGGGGGGGGGGGGGGGGGGGAAAGAGACAGGGGGAAAAGATGGCAAAGGCATTGGGGAAAAGAGCTAGCACAGGCAGTGGGCCAAATGGTCACCTGCTTTGCTGTATGATTCAGATTCTAGCTAATTGCAAGGGATATGCTTTAATCACATGCCAAAAGTGCTATATAAATATATTCATTATTCCAGCATCAAAAGCTCTTCCACAACATTGGCAAAAAAAGGTCTTGGCATTAAGTTACCTTCTCTTTAACAATCTCTAATGTGCTTGTTTTTCAGAAGGTAATGCTCACAAAATACATAGCTCACTGTTACCAAGAAAAACCTCTTTCAGAAGGCCACGACACTTCTGGGGCAAGAAAAAATGTAAGAATCATCCTCCAGCACCCAGGAAGACGCAGCAGGAAGACCTTCAATTCAGTGTGGAGATGATTTCTGAACAAGATGTGTCATAAAATTTGGGGTGATAGATCGTAAGGAAGCATCAGCCAAAGCAGAGATACGATGATTTAACTGGTTTGTGCTGGAATGGTATGGCATATTTCAGCTCGCTTATCAGTGTTGACTTGGTTATGGACACAAGGTCATGAACTCAAACCCCATTTCAGAAACTTGAGCAGAAGTTTCAGGTCGAACCTTCCAAAGCAGTACAGAGGAAGTACCACTGTACCAATTTCCAACGAGACATTACCATACTGAACTTGGATCTCTTTAAAGATTAAAGGGCATTACTCAAGCATTTGGCCAAAGATTCTTTTCTCAAACACCATCCCGCAAAACAAATAGAACTTTTTTTTAAAAACAATGATAATTTAACTGACAATCAAAAGTAGTAGACTCGCCAACTTCAAGGGCATTTAAATGGTCATTGGATAAACATATGGACGATAATGGAATAGTTTAGGTTAGATGGGCTTCAGATTGGTTTCACAGGTCGGCGCAACATCGAGGGCCGAAGGGCCTGTAGTGTGCTGTAATGTTCTATGTTCTATGAGCAAGAGTCTGGTATGACTCTTTAGTTCTGAAGGGGAGTCAGTGAACTTGAGATTCAGTCTTTCCCCACATGCAATGCCAGACTTGCTCAGTCTCTCCAGCACCAATGGTACTTTGTTTTTACTGCCAAAAAACAAGCTGACTGTTTGTGCGCTCTCTCATGTGGGATGTTCACCACATTTGACTAACAGTAATGATGGTGATCTGGAACCTACTGACCGAAATGATGGGTGCGAGAGTAGATTAAGTGGTAACATTAAAAAATAAAATTAGACACAAAGGGAAAGACTTGCAGAAATCTGGGGAAAGAACAATGAGGTAGAACAACTTTGATCATCAAGGAGTTGCATAGATAGTGGGGTAGATGGCCCCCCTGTACTGTATGGTTCTAGCTCATGAAATACCTGCTTCACAGGCATAAATGTGAGTCTCTCTCCCCTTCATTATGTAAGGCGGATGAGTTGAATTATTAAATATTTCACAATTGATAACTTTTAACCAACAACAACATTTACACAATGCTTGTGGGATGAAGCTTAATTTAATAAAACAAAAAAAACTAGTAAAAAGGAGGAGGAGTACCAGTGCAAGTCTCAAACTTTGAAATGCAACAGAAGAAGGACTGACAGTCAGTCTTGCTGGATGTTCAGGGAAGTTGGTGATGCGAGTGTGCACAAGTGGGGCTCATAAAAAAATGGCCACTCAAAAGGAGATCTGCCCAGAATTATTTTGATCCTCCAAAGGAAAAGAAACCTTGATCAACATTCCGTACTTTACTGATCAACAAGACTATATTTCTTGTTTATATGGCCTCAAATGTTCTAAACCTGAAGCTTTGTTCAGTGTGTCAGTGAATGCGATTTTTACAAATCATAATATAGAATGATTGTGTAATTCTATAAACGCAATGCTTCACCAATACATTTATCACCCTTCTCCAAACCCCACCTTCCTCCTCACAGGAAATATATATTCAAAACATATGGAAAAGAAACATTAGAGATTCAACAGGAGTGCTGGAACTACCCAGCAGCTGTGGTATGAAGAGACATTAATATCACAGACAACAATCCTTGATAAGGATGGAGACAAGACCCCTGTTAGAGTTTGTGCACAATTTGTCCAGTCCTGGGCTCCAGGTTAGTCCGTCTCGTTTAGAGCAAGTACTTTGACTATTTCCTATTTCCCGAATGTGGGACAGGATGCCCAACCTGCAGCCTTTCCTGTAAAAGCCCAGTTTCAGATCACCAGAAGCAAGCAGCCAGCCCCATCTCCAGCCTGGTTACCACACCAGCTTTCAAAAGATGTAATTTCAACATCTAAAGTAAGCTTTAGTTTAGATGTGCAAATTTTTTTATTCTTCAAAATGTAGTTCTACAATAGTATACAGCGTTTTCATATTGAATTTGATATATCTTCCAACAGCAAGAACTGCTCACCATCCACATTTCCACTTCTGAAAACATTGTAAAACATACACCAGTTAGTGTTGAGCTTTTCCCCGTGTGGAGGGAAAATTAAAACTTTTTAAAACCCTCTTGATTTTATTTTTACGAAATTAAGAAGCTAGGTCATACATTATGAAGTCTCAAAAGATCAGTATCAGACAAGTGACCATTTACCCAAATAAGACACTGGAGGGCTGCCTATGGGGGGAGGGGGGGGGGGGGGGGGCACATTCATGAAGGTGCTGATTGTTGCATTAGTCTACCCCTTATGAGCACCCTTGGTGTGTCTTAGTTTAAATTCAGTTTCTCGTAGCAATGAAACAAGAAATTGGTACTCTACAAATCACTCCTGTTAATTAATACTGGTTCAGCCCCAGCGCTAGTGTTAAGAGTTTTGGACAGAGTCAGAATCAGAGTCAGTTACACAGCTTCAAATGGTCATTCAAGCTGTCAACATGTTGGCAAATTTCTTGGTCCAGCAGAAGGAATAGCTTTGCCAATGGAGGCTGGGGAGGAGTCAGAAAGAGAGCTGCCACTACTCCCATCTCTGCTGACAACAGGGCTACCTAGAAATCTACAGGCTACGTTCTCTGCACACCTTGCTGACTAGAACAGTGCAGGGGCAGAAAAACAAGAGCATGTGTACAGGTCTCTGGGCATGAAGGACACACAGACAAAAATAAGGATGTGGTTTGGTGGAAGGGTTGCTGATTGTGATATCACACTAATTCAAAACAATTTTAAAAAGGATTCTCAAATTGGTAGAAAAGTTAAAATGGGATAAGTTTTAAAAACTTGACAGATATGGCTGTTCAGTGTCCGGGTGCAAGAACGAGTACAGACTGGTGAGCCGATGTAGCTCAGGTCAGCTGGATGGCATAATCCCAATCCAAAGAACACTGCTCAACAAGATCAGTCAATGGCAAAACACTAAAACAAAAAAAAAAGTTACATCAGTGGATGATTTTTAAAAAAAAAATCCAGTGGCACAGTGAGGTCAGCATCTCAGTGCAAGATACCAGACTGTATGAGGAGCTGGACTGGTGAGGGTGGGAGTCTAAAAGATACAGAGTTTCCAAAGAAATAATTCAAAGGCAAGGGAACTCAAGTACTTCATACAAAACATTTCTGTATATATGCCCAAGAAAGTGGGGTACAAATGCTTAAAAAAATGAAAAAAGGTGGCACCACCCTTTGGATAAGGGTTTTCAAAGTAGTGGCTCTGCTTCAGAAATTGGCACTCTCTCTACAGGTTTTGGCCTCAGCCTTTGTCCAAGTCCATGTGAAAATGCATCATCCACCTGTGCATATCTACTCCAAACACGTCCTATCCCTAGCTAGGTGCCCATCAGGTGCAGCTTTCCATCTGTAACTCCATCAACTGCAACGTCTTCTGCAGCCAGATCAAGTTTACCCGTAGCACGTATAAAAGCAGCTTATATTTATCTTTTAAAAGGAATACAGCAGCAGTCTCCTCCACAGTGGGCAAATGCAGCAAATAAATTATTCAGCCAAGCTCTGTGGAGGCACCCTTTTCACATTTCAGCAAAGAAAAAAAATACATGTTCATTAGAATCAGCACAGGGCAGTTAAAACAAAAATAAAAACATACTAAAAAGCTTCTTAAATTATCAGAACAGGCACAGGTTCCATAGCCGTATGGTCACTGGATACTGAAACCATTAAAACTATAGAAAACACATTCAATAAATACTCTTGGAAGTTGACACACTTACTTAGTTCCATTACCTCAAACTACTCCTGCCTCTGCCAGTAATACATCTAGAAATTGTCAACACTAGCTCTGGACACTCTTGAAGCTTGCAAAAGGTAATATTTGGAAGCTTAATCCACTGCTTTCTTCAAAGTTGAAGTTGGCAGATTAGTTCAACTTCACAGAACTATTGCTCAACTTTACTGAAATCCTGGAGGAAAAACAATCGTGCAATATGGGATTTCACACTCCCAGCAACATCACAGCACACCCTCTCTGCTGATATTCACAATCTCAGAAAAGCCTGTCAAGTGTCTGACACCCAAAACACACAATGAGAGAAATTGCAGAGAGACAGCAAATCCTTGTCTCCCATTGAATATTGTTTACAACCTAATTTTTAAATCTGTCGCTAAAGCTCCTTCGTCAAAAATCAAAAACACTGGATGGCACTTAAGCTGTTTTAGTAGGTCACAACTGTAAATGCTGCAAAATACTTTGTTTGGAGTAAAACTGATTTCTACAGCAAGGCCACACATTTACATACAGTCATTACCAATAAATTTGTGACAAAAATCAATTAAATTAGGACAGTCAGATGTTCTGTCAAGCATTACAGTCTAAATCTTGGTGTGCAGAGAAGCAACACCCCCCCCCCCCACCCGTCATGAGAGAAAACCATGTTATGGTCTTCAAGAAAGCACTAATTTTCATAGACAAAGCTATTTCAATCGCCCTGCTTCTGCTCAAACTTTGGCTCTATTACTACCACACCCAAAGAACATGACCATTTCTGTACTCTTTGCCAGAATGCTTTAACATATCAATATGAAGGGGACATGGGAAAGAGTGCTCTTCACTTGCCAATTTATACAGGATTGCCACTAAAACCAGCGACAGACTTGTAAATGCCAGTCTTCACAGGTCAAAACACTTGGCAGCCACAACTAAACTTTGAGATGGCACAATGTCATTGTGCAGTTGAGTGATGGACATTGGAAAGTTTCAGAAAAAGTTATTTGATACTGAAATCTAGTGACAATACTGAAATCTAACAGCAAAACAGATATTCTGCCATTTCAACCATAACAAAGTCTAAAAGTCTTCCAGCTAGAAAATGGGTCTCCATTAAATTCCGTTCTGAAAGCTATCCAACTTGGTGGAGAAAGAAAAGGATTGTATCAGAGACTATGCTCAACAATTGCAGTCATGATTGATCAGAGTGAATTGTTGGGAAGGACAGCTTGAAAACAGAACTTGAACAGTTCTCAAGAATCAGAAAGTTCTGCCTTTACTGATGTGCAGATACAATACAACTGAGTGTGAAGATCCCAAAAACAAAACTTTATCTATTAAGCAGCTCTTTTATGAAGTATTGTGGCTATTAATCTAATTTTTCAAAATTTATGGAACTGATTTTTCCTACAATGCTCATTCATTTCACAGGAGGGAAGGGTTCAAGAATGGTTTAGGAAAACAGTGTTACTTATTTTCTCAGAGTGTGCACATGTTTTGGGGATGGGGAGGGGGTTGGTGATGAGAAGTCAGCACAGAAAAAGGTAATAATAGAACGTGCTGCACAGTTACTAAACAGCCACCATCTGTGGACATTGTGAAGTGTTCCAACAGGCACCATTACAGTTTCTCTGGCAGCCTTAATGCTGCAGTACTCTCAATGATAACCTGACTGAGCTTTAACAGTAGCTCCAGTCACAAACATCTATCGCCTAACTAGTCAACATCAGTAAAGCTTTGAAGCCTCAAAAGGCTGTAGGATGAGGGGGACAAATTGTTTAAGCCCTGAACTACACACATCTAAAAATATTAAATAAAATATTTTGTCTGCTTTTTCTGTTGCTTAAGAGAACCTCGAGAATTATTGTTATCCACCAATAGCTTTGTGCTAAGAATGATGCCACCTTTCCAATTCCAAACCATTGTAAGTGCTCTGAAGGGAGCAAAGACTTAAGGCTTTTCAATGGGCTTTTGAGGGAGACCAATGACTTACAGATGTCAACGGCATCACTCGTACACAACTGCTGCTACTCAGACCCTCACTAACAGGCAACATTCATACAGAATTATTACACTTTTTTAAAGTTACAGTAGTATAGCAATATTCAGCCAGTGTATGGAAAAAGAAAAGTAAAACTGCATTCAATGCATTTGTTGCCAAACTTGTCTGCAATTAAAATAATTTGATAAAAGGCCTTTTTGCTCAAGGACCAGCAGGATAAAATACTTTAAGCCTTCCAGGTAGAGTAGTGATGAGAAGTATTTCATGGACATAAAATTCACAAGATGTATTCCTAGGTAACGTCTGATGGCTAGAAATAGCAGCTGCATAAAACAGATTATTCAGAATGACCCATTTAGTTGATAGGGTAGGGAAACAAAATCAAATATTTTCTGCAGTTAAAAGGTCCTCATGATTTCAGAGTTTAAAAAGGATTCTTTTCAATTTCCTCTCCCTTAAACCAAATTCACTCCTAAAGCCAATTTATGTTGAGAGCGAAACGTGTTTGCGTTAACATGCTTCTAGCACTTTTTACCATCAACTATTTTCCCTAGTGTTGGGCCAGACAGCAGGGGGCCATAGATTTTTTTTTAAAATCAACTTGTTCAGAGATGTTTGGGCACACCTCTGGAGCAGGTGGGACTTGAACTCAGGCCTCCTGGGTCAGAGGTGGGGAGGGACACTATAACTACATCACAAGCGTGTGTCCTGTTTCATATCATTTGACATTGTTGTGCATCACCGTAGAGACCGATTCATTCAACATCCACGAGAATTTACCAGGTGTCACTGAAGAGCAAGAAGTGTGGAGGTCTGCATAAAGCTACCCCAGGTCAGCTGCAGTGATTGGCAATACAACCTGGAACCTTTGCACCTGGTGGTTTGTGCCATGGGTGAGGATTCATCAATTTAAGACAAACTCAACGACAGGAAGAGATTTAACTCCCTAGTTTGTTGCTGACTAAATTCAGTGCATGACCCTCTAACAAAAATGGTGCTTTCTTCCCCAAAAAGTCATTCTTTTCATATGGACATCGTGAGCAAGGCCAGCATTTACTGACAATCCTCAGGTATCTGAAGGTGGTGTTCCTCCTGAAGATTTTACTCTTTCTAGCAATTTGAGATGCAACTGAGTGACTTGCTCAACCCCTCTTGGGGTGGGTGAAGCCAGAACTGCAAACAGGAACAGACCAGATAAAAACAGCAGGCCTCCATCCCCAACAGCACATGGGTGAACCAACTGGATTTTTAACAGAATTTCATGGTCACAACTATTATAAAACATACAGGCTGCAAGTCAGAAGTCTCATCCCAGCCACCCCAAACACTGCAGCTGCTCAAAAGGCAAATATTTCTAAACCTACAGAGACCAATGAACCAGGGACCAAGGCTTTCCGAGTAGATGGCAAGAAGTCTGAGCTGAAGGTTTGCAGTCAGACAGACATTTGGGCTTCAACTTCAAACTAAAAATGGTACCTTAATATTAATTGGGATAGTCCATGTCAAATCTTTCTGGATGAATACACTTTTTTTCCTAAAATTGCAGACTCCACAGCAGGCACTGAACAACAGGATGCAAATAATTAAGATGCTGCCCCTTAAAACATCTAACAGATGTTTACCACTTTAGGTAATGAGTAAGCTTTCCACAAAAGGATTCCGCGGAAGGTCACGCACCACACAATATAGTGACTCCACTGGTGTGATGGAACTTTCTGCCCCATTTCATCCTGAAAAACAAAACCGCCACCTGTACAGAGCTCTCCAGTAAGCTCCAGCCAGATGAAGGGAGCTGGTCTGTCTGATACAGAAGGGGTGAATACAGAGTGCTGACATTTCTTATCAAAGAAAACCACCATAAAATTCACTGTACTGTAATCTGCAGTGACAGTTCTTCATTTTGCTTTGAAACTGGGGCCTATTTTCATCCAAATCACAGGAAAAAAACAAACACAGCTCTGTAAATTTAAAATGAATTTTCAATCTGTCTGTTTTTCAGCCATAAACATCACTGAACATTTTTCCACCTAGTGACAGCTCTGCAAATGGATTATCTATCAGGGTTAAACAGAGTTCTGCAGTTCAGAGATTGCAAAGCCTGCAACAAACCAGCAGTACAAGTGGGATACAAGAGGAAAAGGAGGGGTTTGGGAATCACTAAAAATTGTGAGCACAAGCCACATAACCTGCAGTAGGAAAGCAGTACAAATGGAGATAAAAAGAATACTCAAATACACAGTATTCTGACACACTGTGGTACAAAAGGGGTTCCTACGCTGCTCAACAACTGCTAATAGGGACAATTCTGTGTCATTTTACACTAAAAGCCTTGAATGCCTGTGGGTGATGCATGGACACATGCCAGATAATTGAGCAGCTGCCAAAAGCTCTTCACACTCCTCACTTCAACAGAGATTCTGGAACTGCAGATGTTTTTTGCAAGATTGCATCTGTTTTGCATTCTTTCCCCTCCCTCTAATCCTGTCACTGAAACCAGTTTCTAATCACACATCAAGGTGGTGGTTAGACACTGACTTCAATCTTGCAGAAATAGCCTTCCTCGCACCAAAAGCGAGAGAAAAAAAAATTGCCAAAGAAGTGTTTTCCAAATGAAAAAAAAAACAGACAAGTTTGGCAAAGGCATTAACACAAAGAACATAATCAAAAATTGCTGTTAAGACTGACTAGAGCACCACAGTTACTTGAACCCAGTTCATCTGTACACAGGGTGATGAACATGACTATTCTGATTAAGATTTGGTTCTGGACCTCGGCTGATGGGGGGCCTGTGGATCTTCCCCAACATTCCCATAGTCTGGTCCCTAAAGCAGGAGTTCTGGTAGTCCCCACCCAGGTAGTCCACAGTCTGCAGGACATTTGTTTGGCTGGAGGAACCAGCTCCAGCTCGAAAGGGAGTCCCCACCACACAGTCCACTGGGCCAGAAGCTCCTCCATGAAACACCATGCCAAGGTCCTGGGACCCAGAACTGTCGCTGTTGGGAGTCGGAAGGATGTTGTTCCATATTGGTTGGAAGTACTGCCCGTTGGAATATGGCAAAGCCCCCTGGATTCCATTGACTGGGGGAGACGGCGACAACTTATCGCCAGGAACCCTCAGGTTGTAAGGCTGGCCCAGGTACAGCTCGGCAGGATAACTCAACGTCTTGCTGGTGAACCCTGCGGCAGAAATCTCTCTGTGAAACTTGTTGGGATACCCAGTGCCAGCAGTGTCTCTGGTCAGATGTTGCAACTGTGCCAGCTGGTGCTGGTGCCATGTGGCAGAATCTGTGTCATTCTGGTAGGCTGCTTGCATCCTGTTCATATTGCCCATGGCAAAGCTGCCAGGAGCAATGGCTGTCATGGTGATGGCTGGGTCCCCTGGATTCACAATGCATGGGGGCAGGTGTCCTGGCACACCGCGACCCGACACCCTAGTGCTGGCGTGAATCAACACATTGCGGCTGATGGGGCTAGGGTTGGCGATCTGTCCCTCACAGACTGAGGTAGTGGTAAGGCCCGCACTGGCCTGGCACATCTGGTATATCTGGTGCACAATGCTGTTCAAGTCAGAGGGCCTGTTCTGCTGCAGGTTAGCAGCCATGGAGAGTGGAATGGTTGAGGTAGACACCGTGATGTTGGGAGGGGCATCCCCGTCGGGGCGCATCTTCCGGTATCCATGTAAACCTGGTTGCAGCAGCATGTTTTGTGGGTGGGATAAAGTGCTAGGTGCAGCGTAGGGAGCAGACGGGGGATTCATGTCTGGCAGCAACCTCGCGCGGGTTCCGTCAAAGTCTTTCACAATCCTCTTCGTGGGCAGCTTGACGATTGCAAGTAAACCACGGTTAGAGCTGGCCTGAGAAGGGTAAGGGCTGAATCGCTGGCCCAAAGTATCCAAACCGTTCACCGTACGACGAAGGTGTTTTCTTTGTGGTACTTTGACACTATTTGGAAAGATTTTTATGGTAAGTGGATTGTTGGCAACTTTCTTAGCATATGCATCCAATTCTGCTGGGGTTGGGTACTGTGCAGATCTCATCTTCTGTGTATTTTCCCCTAGGAATGGAAAAAGAGACACATGTTAGTGACCTAGGGGATCTTCAGTGTTACATATAATCATTGATCTGGTTCTGGCTAATAGGTTACAAAGCACTTATTGGGGGAACAGCATTTGAAATCATTTTCCCCGCTAAAAAGAGAAAAAAAAATGATTTTAACCTTCCTAGTTCTAATACAGGGCTTCAAAAAAGTGAAAACCTGGAAGAATTGGACTCTAAGTAAAAGAGCGGGGGCTTTCCATGCAGTCAACAGCTCTGTTGATCACATTCTTGCCTGATCCAGAAGCTTCCAGCACACAGTCTCCAGGCTGACAGTTCACCATCATACTTGGGGGAGTGCTACCTACTGCCATATATGCTGTATGATGCACAAGACATTATACAGAGGCCCTTGTTCCACTATCAGGTGGTAAAACAGCTGCCACATTTCCTACAATCCACCTCAGCCAGTCTAAGGCCATGAAAATGCAGTGAAAATTCTAGTTTCTTTACATCTTCTATAATTAAGGCTTCACCCTTGCCTCATTTATTGTCTTCTCCTCACTATCCCCAATAATCTCTCAAACAGCATCTTGAATATTCTTTCCTCAGTGCTCAAAGTCCAATCTACTTCCTACTGTTGCTTGCAGCTCTTGGGTCCTTAGTTCCTCCTACAGCATAACAGCTTCAAGCTCAGTCACCAAATCACTAATATTCTCAACAGCAGGAGACCACACACTGATCCTTGAAGCTACACCTGGGTTCTACAATTTAAAAGGAGTTGGGGAGAAACTAGAAAATAAATTGTATTTGGAAAGTTTAAAAACCAATGAGAAATTTTTCTTCAGATTAACTTAATAAAATCATTCGACAGTAGCAACTAAGAGTCAGATTATTCAATAAACTACATAAAAAGGTCTCCTGCTTCCACCTAGGTCACTGGAAGAATAACACATTACTCTCCAGTCTTGTGGATAGGTACGTTGTCACAATGTGTCAAAAGTTAATTCCTCCATTTGCTTCTCACACTGTGTCTCAGACCCTGGCCAGTGATTCTGATTTCACTTATTGAGCAGCCAAGATCATTTATGATCTTCCCTCTAGCAAATTCTTGACATCCAAGTTCTGCCCCATCAATATTTCAAGATTGGTGTGAACAAAGCCTTAAAATAATTAACACAGGACAGAGTGAGACAGGAAATTATTTTGGAGGTGAAATGACCTCCTGATCAGTGACAGGGAGATGCAATAAGAAGCACTCACACCAGATTCCAGTCAATTAAAAACAGCTATTCAGGCTGCAGTGCAAGTACTGTTGGCGTCAGCCTGTCGTGAGGACTCAATACTCCATTTAGTGATCATGGGGACAAAAAAAAAATCAAGTTTCAGATTTAAAGAATCATGCTGCGGGGACAAATTGGTTTGCAACAGCTCATACCTGAAGCACGATAATAGCATATGCAGAAACCACTATGAGCCATTTGCAGCACAGCACTGAATGTAGGGTTTGATCCATGAACATCGTGCTAATGTGGGTGCAATGCTTTAATCTGATAATGTAACTGCCCTGAAGCGTTTGAACTGCATGTTATGTTTTATGAACTGCTTTGAGAATTAGTGTTATGAACAGAGTCTTCACCGTGCAGTGTTGCAGAAGCTGGCCAAAATGGAAATTAAACAGCAGACTAATAAATAGATAAGGACAATTTCTTTACTCCAGGGAAATCTCCAGCTTCAGTACCCAATTAGGACATTAGCTGCTAGTCTCCGTGCATGCAAACTGTGGTGCAGTAGCGTGCTAGCCAGAGTACAGAATCAGAATCCCTACCAGTGCGGAAGCAGGCCATTCAGCCCATCAAGTCCACACTGACCTTCTGAAGAACATCCCACCCTGACCCAACCCCCCTGCCCTATCACCGTAACCCTGCATTTCCCACGGCTAATCCACCTAACCGGCACATCTTGGGACTGTGGGAGGAAACCAGAGCACCCAGAGGAAACCCACACAGACACAGGGAGAACATGCAAACTCCACACAGATAGTTACCAGAGGCTGGAATCAAATCCAGGTCCCTGGTGCCGCCCCAGAAGTTCCTGCTTCTACCAGTTGAAAAAGTAGAGATTTCCTGGTAGGAGGGCCATCTGCACTAGGTTAGAATGAATAAGTCAGGCTATTTTAGGATAGATTTAAACTCTTCCCAACATGAGTTCAAATCATGACAATCTCACTGAAAAGCAGCAGCAGCTTTGGTAGCTGGTGCTCAGTACTGGGGATTGAAAAAGGGAGGAAACCTGTACCTCAGAGACCACCGGTTAGGACCAAATCTTCCAACAGCAGATCAAAAGGGCGAAAGTATGGAAAACCAGCACTTTTGTTTTCAGTAATCCTCTAATGAGGAAGGTATTAGCATGGTTATAAAAAGGAGGAAAGTGGCACTGAGATATTTTTGATATCCCGTGAAGTGAGTGTCAAAATGCTTTAAATAAAACAATGGAACCTGAATCTAAACAGGCTGAGATCCCCCGGGTAATGATTTACTTAAGTGACTGAAAGATCAAAATGATCCTTATGGAATCCATCTGCAGAATGGAAAACTGGCAAAATAAATGCCACAGTTCCCAGCTTTCAGGAAGAAAAGTAGTTTAGCCTCAATAATTCAAGCAGGTCGGAGAACACCAAGCCATTGGGGCAAGTCCCTGTGACGTATTCTCATGTCGCTTCAAATCTACTCCCATTAATACCTTCAGTAGTACTTTGTACTCGCATTACATAATGCAACAAAATTCCTCCAAGCAACTTAGTTTGGATGGACAAAAATCTATAATATTGCCCTTACTGCTGTGCATTCAATTCAAATAGACCTGTTACAAAGATACCATGCCACCAGACTTCACTGAAGTGTTCAAGACACCGCTGTGATGCCTTTTGTATCTTCCCGTTCACATGATAACAAGAAACAGTGCAGAATTAACTAGGGTAAACCAACAAAGCATTCACATCACCAACAGATGTTGGAGTTGGCAAATATCAGTACAGAAACTCAATATCCCTTTACTACATGGGATGGAATGTTCAACAATTTACACTAGAACCCTTGTCTAGAACAACAGAAAGGGAGGCAACAAGACATTTGTCAACTCTTAGAGTAATTCTCCAAGCTGGCAACTGGTTGTGAAGCAGACTCAACTCATGCTGGTTTCATTTTTAATTTCAGACAGCAGAATGCTTGGACAAGCTAGGTCCTTTCCAGCCAAAACTGGCATTAATGGAAATGACTCCAGGGTTTTATGCTGTAACCAGATGCCGCTTGCCAACTTCAATCCTGCATTCATTGCAGGCACTGAAACCATTACAGTTTTAAATTTGGAGAGGGAACAGATAAATCATGGCTCTTTACCCTTCCTGAAGAAGAGTCCCAGCCCGAAACGTCAGCTTTCCTGCTCCTGTGATGCTGCCTGGCTTGCTGTGTTCCTCCAGCTCCACACTGTTATCTCTTTACCCTTCCTCCCTTTTTACAAGAGGGAATGATTAAACATTTTACACACTCACTGACCGCACACTGCCAGCCAGGGCTCTGTGGATAGCATTCTTGCCCGAGTCAGATCAAGAGCCATCCCTCTTGACTTGAGCATAAAAGCCAAAGTTAAGCAGCACAGAGAGTCATGTATGTTGAAGGCACTGTCTTCTGAATGAGGTATTAAAGTGAGGCCTTGCCTGCTCTCAAGTGTAAAAGATCTCATGGCCACTATTTAAAGAGCAGGAAAACTCTCCCCAGTAACTTTTTCGACATTTATCCCTCAACTGACATTATAAAGAAGCCAATTATCCCATCATTATCGCTTGCTGCTAGTGGGTATTCTGAACACAAAACACCACCAAAAGTGACTAGTCTTCAATAAATACTTCATTGACTGTAAAGTTCTCTAGACGTGTCCTGTGGCAGCAAAAAGGAGCTAAAGAAATGCAACTGAGTTGTTTTCCATGTTTCTCAAATGCCCTATGGTGCCATTTACGAGAGTTCAGATAAATCAGCTAGAACTGGACATGGGATGAGAGGATGGATGGCAGAAAGTAATGTGGATCAGGTTATGGTGTTAGGAATGATGTGGGAATGGAGTATGGGCTGAAGAATAAACATACAAGTTAAATCAAGAATAGGGTTTTATGCAGTTGAATATACAATTCTAGAAGATTGTAAAGACAAGGTGCAGCACATCCATGAAGACATGAAAACAAAATTTATGCACAGTTCTGAAATGTTGAATAAGATCAAATTTTCAGTTTGAAAGCTTCAACCTTTTCCACACATGAAACTAATGATCAACCGTTCTACACAAACCAAAACTACACCGACATCATGCTTGCCCAGAACAAAAAATCATATCCTCCCTTTCAGTTGGATTGCCAAAAAGGAAACAATGCATCCTTATCAACAAATTCTCTGACCCATTTAGGAAGCTGATACTTGCTGAGCCCAACCAACATTATTCACCTTTGTTCCCCTCTATCCACACATCAACGAATACCGCTCACGTTCGGACATAGAGCAGTTTTTCCGCTGCCTCCGCCTCCATGCTTACTTGTTTAACCGTGAACCTAACCGCCCCCTCTACTGACCCCTTCTCCCGCTTCCAACACACCCCCTCCTCCTGGACACCACCCCAAGGCCTCCCACCCTCCCTCGACCTCTTCATCTCCAACTGCCGTAGAGACATCAATCGCCTCAACCTCTCCACCCCTCTCACCCACTCCAATCTCTCCCCCGCAGAACGTGCAGCCCTCCGCTCCAATCCCAACCTCATCATAAAACACGCGGACAAGGGAGGTGCAGTTGTAGTATGGCGCACTGACCTCTGTATCGCCGAGGCCAGACGCCAACTCTCTGACACCTCCTCCTACGGCCCCCTTGATCATGACCCCACCCCCGAGCACCAAACCATCATCTCCCAAACCATCCACAACCTCATCACCTCAGGTGACCTCCCACCCATGGCTT